GGAAGTTCGAGGGCCCAATGGTTCTTAGCCAGCTGCGAGCTTGCGGTGTTCTCGAGACTGTGCGTATAAGTTGCGCTGGTTACCCCACAAGATGGACTTACGAGGAATTCGCTCTTCGGTACTACATGCTTGTCCATTCCGACCAGTGGACATCAGAGATTCGAGAGATGGCCAACGCTATCCTGTCCAAGGCCCTAGGTTCTAGCTCTGGAAAAGGTACGGATAAGTATCAGCTGGGCCTCACCAAGATCTTCTTCCGTGCTGGCATGCTTGCTTTCCTTGAAAACTTGCGCACTAGCCGCCTGAACGACTGCGCAATCCTCATTCAAAAGAATCTTCGCGCCAAGTTCTACCGCAACCGCTACCTCGAGGCTCGCAACGCTATCGTGACTTTTCAGTCCGCCGTGCGAGCGTACATTGCCCGAAAGCAAGCCCAGCAACTCCGCACTGTCAAAGCAGCAACAACGATTCAGCGGGTTTGGCGTGGCCACAGGCAAAGAAAAGAGTACTTACGCATCAGGAACGATGTCGTCCTGGCGCAAGCGGCGGCCAAAGGTTACCTTCGAAGAAAAGAAATCATGGAGACCCGCGTAGGCAACGCTGCTATCCTCATTCAGCGAGTGTGGCGGTCCCGTCGACAGGTGCTTGCTTGGAGGCAGTACCGGAAGAAGGTTACTCTTATTCAAAGCTTGTGGCGTGGAAGAATGGCTAGGCGTGACTACAAGAAGGTCCGCGAGGAGGCTCGTGATCTGAAGCAGATTTCCTACAAGCTGGAAAACAAGGTCGTCGAGCTGACACAATCTTTGGGTTCCATGAAGACTCAGAACAAGAACTTGGTATCTCAAGTTGAAAATTACGAGGGGCAGATCAAGGCATGGAAGAACCGCCACAACGCTCTCGAGGCTCGCACAAAAGAGCTTCAAACGGAGGCCAACCAGGGAAGCATTGCAGTCGCCAGGCTGCAGGCAATGGAGGACGAGATGAAGAAGCTCCAGCAGAGCTTCGAAGAGTCAACTTCCAACATCAAGAGAATGCAAGAGGAGGAGCGGGAGCTCAGAGAGTCCCTGCGCTCCACAAGCACCGAGCTGGAGACTGTCCGACAGCAGAGCGCCCAAATCGAAAGCGAGAAGCTGTCCTTACGCCAACAGTTAGCCGAGCTTCAAGATCAGTTGGAGCTGGCCAGGAGACTTGCTCCTGCCAACGGCGAGCTAACCAACGGCGCCGTTCAAGCGCAGGCCTCGGCTGCCAGCGGTCTCATCAACCTCGTTTCCTCTAAGAAGCCCAAGCGCCGCAGTGCCGGTGCTGAGCCGCGAGAGATGGATCGCTTCAGCGCTGCGTACAACCCTCGACCCGTCTCCATGGCCGTTACCAGTACCGCCTTGAGGCAGAATCTCCAAGGCGCTGGTGGCTTCACACCCAATGTGGACAACATCGAGCTAGAGCTGGAGACTCTCCTAGCCGACGAGGATGGTCTGAACGAGGAGGTCACCATGGGTCTCATCCGCAACCTCAAAATCCCTTCACCCAACACAAACCCCCCGCCATCCGACAAGGAGGTTCTTTTCCCTTCGTACCTCATCAACCTCGTCACTTCGGAAATGTGGAACAATGGCTTTGTGAAAGAATCTGAGCGTTTCCTAGCCAACGTCATGCAGTCTATACAGCAGGAGGTCATGCAACATGACGGCGACGAGGCCATTAACCCGGGTGCCTTCTGGTTATCCAATGTCCACGAGATGTTGTCCTTTGTCTTCCTCGCGGAAGACTGGTACGAGGCCCAGAAGACGGATAACTATGAGTACGACCGTCTGTTGGAAATCGTCAAGCACGACCTTGAGAGCTTGGAATTCAACATTTACCACACTTGGATGAAGGTGCTGAAGAAGAAGCTCCATAAGATGATTATTCCCGCCATCATCGAGTCTCAGTCCCTTCCAGGATTTGTCACCAACGAGAGCAGTCGCTTCCTCGGCAAGCTTCTGCAGTCCAACTCGACGCCCGCTTACAGTATGGACAACCTCCTCAGCCTGCTGAACAGCGTTTTCCGCGCCATGAAGGCCTATTACTTGGAAGACTCAATTATCACCCAAACGATCACTGAGCTACTCCGCCTGGTCGGCGTCACTGCCTTCAACGACCTGTTGATGAGACGAAACTTCCTCTCCTGGAAGCGCGGTCTTCAGATCAATTACAATATCACTCGTATTGAGGAGTGGTGCAAGAGCCATGACATGCCCGAGGGAACTCTTCAGCTGGAGCACTTGATGGTATGACCTGAGCTCAATTCCGAATACAAAGATATCAGCCAACTAACTGTCATACAGCAAGCAACGAAGCTCCTGCAGCTAAAGAAGGCCACCTTGAATGACATCGAGATCATTCAGGACATTTGCTGGATGTAAGCAAGAACCAAAAGCCGACGTAGATGGTGCCAGAATGCTAACATCATAATCTCTCTAGGCTGTCGCCCAATCAAATTCAGAAGCTCTTGAACCAGTACCTCGTGGCAGACTACGAGCAGCCTATCAATGGCGAAATCATGAAGGCTGTAGCCTCTCGCGTGACGGAGAAGAGCGATGTCTTGCTTCTGCAGGCTGTCGACATGGACGATAGTGGCCCATACGAGATTGCGGAGCCCAGAGTCATCACTGCTTTGGAAACTTACACTCCCTCATGTGAGCAGCCAGTGGTGCATAAATATGTCGTGGAGTTGCTTGCTAACAATCTGATGAACAGGGCTTCAAACACCGCGACTGAAGCGACTTGCTGAGATCGTCTCAGCGCAGGCGATTGCTCAGCAAGAGAAGTTAGACTACGACCCTGAGGACGGCTTCGAGCCCAATGGCGACCTCGCCGAAGTTGACGAGAACGAGGTGGCGGCGTGAGTTGATGCTCAGAGGGAGCGGATGAGGGGTCGCCTTGTGTTTTTAGGGGGGAGGCAGCGGGCAAGAAAGCCAGCCGCTGATGGCGGGGCGTCGCTCGCTGCCGTCTGGTCCGAGTCGGGCACTGGCATAATGAAGCTGTCAAGTGTGTGATGACCTGGTGTGGGCGGCGAAATGCCTTTACCTCCGTGTTATGAACTAGAGCTGGGTATTTACAGCGGCAGATTTTGCATGGGTAATGTAGAAGAAGCAGTTTTTCTGGCGTCGTGTGCTAAGGATATCGCCAATTGATTGAATTGGGGAACACGTGTATTTACACTCATACAAAGGTAAATACAGTGTCACATTAGGATCACGACAAGTATGACAATGGCTTTTCGACTACTTACCCTATATACGCAGTCTACACAGTATGTTGCTTCCTACACCTTGTTGGCATTGTTGAGTGAGGATTAGTATAAGATCAAGATAGGACCGGGATATGACCCGATCTCCGTCGATCTTTCTTAATTAATTGACTGACGCATGACCCAACGATTATTATCAGCACGTGATACTGAAAAATTCCGAAGCCCTATCGTATAGATGCATGTGGGACTGCCCCTCTCCGCCCTTTAATGCAATAGATGAAGTAGCACCCCACCATCTTTTTCTCCTTCGTCGGCCACTCATCCATCCATACATCGATGTTAGGTCTCACTGATGATCATATGCAAAGTCGGCTTCCTTTCTATGCTGCTTTATAATTCGCAACCCTTTTTTTGTTTGAAGGAACCGATAAGCAAGTCAAAATGAGGGCTTCACCCAACATTATCATCACTGGCACACCGGGTGTTGGCAAGACAACCCATTGTGAAGAGCTCGCAAGGAGGTCAGGCCTGACACATCTCTCCGTGAATCAGGTTGTCAAGGACCGAGAATGTCATGAGGGTTGGGATGATGAATTTCAAAGTTGGATCGTTGACGAGGATAAGGTTGGCATTCTATACCCCTGCTCCCGCCTTTTCTCACTCCCTCGCCCCTTCTCTCCCTAGGTTGCTTTTCACTCTTAGACCCTCTTCCAATTCCCGATTCGAAAACCTAGACTGAACCTAGACTGAACCCTTCCTGATAGACTAGGCTAACGATACATTATATAGCTGCTGGATGCCATCGAGGCTGAGGTTGCGAATGGTGGGTATATCATCGATTGGCACGCCTGTGACCTCTTTCCCAAGAGCTGGATCGACCTTGTGGTGGTCCTTCGCGTGGACTCGACTACACTCTATGATCGTTTGACAGCGAGGTAAGAAACAAGAACCATCAAATATCCGCTGTGCATGTTCTCTGCGAGTATTCCACTTTGGGGTGGGAGACGGCGATAACAACGGGCTTCGGCTTACCGAATTGCGACATAGAAAATACCCCGAGGCAAAGCTGCAGGAAAATCTTGATTCGGAGATCATGGAAGTTCTTCTGCAGGAAGCGAGGGATGCTTTCGACGAGGAGATCGTGGTTGAGCTCACAAGCAACACCTCCGATGAGATGGAGACCAACGTCTCACGGGTTGAGGAGTGGTTAGAGCAGTGGATGAAAGACCATTCTCCATGAAGGAAGTTATTGTTCTTGAACAAGGCTCAAGTTCATCTCACTGATTTCGGTCGGACTTGATTTGGTCAATGTCGACGAGCCGGAAAGCTTTACTTTGAGCTGAAGACTGGTATGCCAGTGAGTCGTCATACGCGCGAAGTTTCGCTCCGGCTTACGAGTCGATATTATGAAAACGGACTCCTGAGGGATGAAAAATGGAGAACCGCAATCTTAAAGCTGCTAGCCCGGGACGCCTTGTGTCTGTTGTGCTAGATTGCCTCCTCCCGAATTGCCATTTAGCTGGCCTGTAGATAGCCGCAATATGCACCAAGACGTGCATCGCCCCGATAGAGCATAGTATGGAAAATCGCCCCGGTCTTCGTAAAGCCACCCAGAGCATCTTACGCACCTTAGGCTGTAAAACATATCCAGTCGAAGCAAAAATTAAGGGTTGTCACTGCAAGAACAGTTGGCTTCCCCTACTGCTCCCTTCTCCTCCCACAAGTCTCGTCCAAATCGCGGCTGTATCGTACGCACGCGGTGCTCACCATGGCGACGTCACCGGTTGTTAACTTCATCACTGGCAACGCCAATAAGTTGCGCGAGGTCAAGGCCATCCTCGAACCGGCCATCGTCGTGCAAAGTCAAGCTATAGATTTGGATGAAGTCCAAGGCACTGTTGAAGAGGTCACGATCGCGAAGTGCCGTAAGGCTGCAGACACGGTGAGATGCTTGTGAGCGATACGGTTTTAACTAAACGCTGAGTTATATCCTTTACCTCAACAGGTCCAGGGCCCTGTTCTAGTCGAGGACACATGTCTTTGTTTCAAGGCTCTCAACGACCTCCCTGGTCCATACATGTAGGTCTGCGCGACTACTTACCCACACCTCGGCTCTCTATCTTCCCTGGCTGTCGTTTTTTTGGCACTGCTGCGAGACACTGATGGTTTCCAGCAAGTGGTTTATGCAGTCTATTGGGCATCAAGGTTTGAACAACCTCCTTGCCGCTTACTCGGATAAGTCTGCCGACGCTGTCTGTACTTTTGCTTATTCTCCTGGCCCTGGCCATGAGCCAGTCCTTTTTCAAGGTCGCACTAGGGTAAGAAGTGGACGATGATCATTAGAACGCCGTTTGTGCTCAAAGGCTTATGCTACATACAGGGCAAGATTGTGCCACCCCGGGGTCCCACGGATTTCGGTGAGTAGTTGTAAAGGCTTGGGTCTGATTTGATTCTGACGAGGTTGAGGCTGGGACGCTATCTTCGAGTACGATGGTCAAACGTAAGTCCCACTCTGGTCCTCGTCTCCAACAAACCTCTTAGTAAATGAACGCAGCTACGCCGAGATGGATAAGACCGCGAAGAATAAGATCTCTCACCGCGGCCTCGCGCTCAAGAAGCTGCAGGAGTGGTTTGCCCAGAAGGCAGACTAAGTCTCTTAGTAGCGCGTCGAGGGCCAATTGGCGCTTGTCTCTCCACATGACATGAAGTTCGCGGAATCGCTATCTGCTGCTCTGTGGAGGGCTGAGGTGCGACCCGTCGAGTCTGCGACGCAGTGTCAACTTGGGGCGATAATGTACGCATCACGCTAGTGGTCGCTTACCTGAGAATTTCGAACTCGCGATATCGGCGAAGGTATTTAGAACCGCGACGATAGGGCTTTAGCGATTCATCGGCAGACCTGTGCTTGAAAGTTTGGCCTATAAGTCGGGCGAGTGCAGGCGCATCGCGGAACATGGGGTCGAAAACCAGCAGATTCGAAGGGCCATTCTTTTGTCTCTCGAAACCCACGATTGTCAACGAGTGCCCTGCAAACAGTTAGTGTCGACAGGTCTGATAGAGCACTTCTATGTACCGGCATGCTGGAAATATATGGGCGGAAGCTGCGTGCATGTAACTTTGGCGGGTGGGCTTTGCATTCCATGCTTGAAGTACTGCTCAACAGCATACATCAATTTGGCTTCGGATCTCCCTGGCTCCGCATCTTTGAACCCCTGAGCAGTGCACCTACGGTCCTGTCAACGGCGTGCTGAGAAGAGATTTGAAGTCTGCATACTCACGGTATCTGAAGGCTGACAAAGAGCGCTTGAGCCTGTAATTTGCACTTAGTCGGTGTATGCATTCCTCGAAAAGGAAAGTCTCACCTCCGGCGTTCCAATATATTTACGAGTGCCCTTGATACCTCCCGTTTCAAGGCGGCCTTGGGCGTTAATGCCCATATCCCACGCATTTTCGATGTACTCTTGTATCTCGAATATGGTGGGCAAACGTCCCCTGAACTGATCTCTGCCGTAGGCGTTCGCACCGTTGATGTAAGAAACCATCATCTGTATGTTGCGATAGCCGCAGAAACCACCTCGACTTATGTCAATATGTGCCGGGACGGAGGGAAGTGAGATTTGACTACCTTCTTTCTTCAGCTTAGACACGTGTTGCACGGCGGGGTGACAGAGATACGCATATTCTGTAGACCTGCTCTGCCGAAGAAGCTGTTCGAGAACGTTGATCACCCCTGAAACTTAGTCTGCGGTCCATCACGGCCTGAAAGATGTACGAACCGTCGCTTGTTACCTCCCCGCCTTTGTGAAGTAGCGAAACCAGCCAGTCAGGCATGGTTTGTTCATGCGCGTATTTGCCCAGCTCGGCTTTCTGGTACCTGTCAGCATATGTGAGGACACCGACACGTCGTCTAAGCGGGCATACTCCCAAACGCTTGTCCCCTGTCGCGACTTTTTCTTTGGGCTGGGGCATTGACAAGAGCTGGCCCCATTGCTGTATGGCAGCCCTCTGCGTGTCACCTGCAGATCCGCTACCAGCATGACTGCTGCTGCTCACGGCCCCGACTTCGGTGGTCATTCTGGAGCTCGTGGTGCCGTCGGCCGTCTGGTCCTCAGACGGACCGCCGACCCCTTGCCGCTGTTCTTCGACGTGGAGGTCAACGTGGTAGTCCATCTCAGCTATAGAGAGCACTTCGCCGCATCCTTCGATGGGGCACTCAGCATACTGCTCCTGAGCTGCCTGTGATGATGAGGCCTGGTCTTCTTCTGGATGAAAAGATTCCATATGCTGGGAAGCCGATCAGTGTCAAGTTTCAATGACTCGCGTCTGATTCGTGAACACACCGTCAACATCTCGTATTCACCGCCGCCGGCGATTCCGCAGAAGGGACAGATCATGGTGTTCGCCATGCTGTCGAATTCAGAACTTCGGTGAAGCGAATAAGATTGATTTGATGCAACTAACAGTGAGATGAAGGGGTCGAAGGAGAATCGAAGAAACGAGGCCAGGTTTATCGACTTAATGTTCCTCCAAGCAATTGAGCTTGGCTCGATGATTGTCTTGGATTGAATCAGTACTGTGCATTGCCTTTGCAAAAGTAACTGCAAAGAACTCGCTCACGGTGGAAGAAGACACAAAGAGAGGTGGCTAAGTCGTGACGTCCAAGAGTACTCAAAGTCGCCTGAGCCCTGGGCGCGCAAGACCACGTGGTTTTGAAAGGAAGACAATCGTTGAAATGTGCCGCAAGTTCACCAGTGTGGCGCGCAGCAATATCTTCGGAAATCGCCGTCGAGACGGGGGCAACAACTCAGTTGACTTCTCTAACACGACGCGAAAGGAAAGGGGTTAGTTGAAGAGGTCTAAAGGTCTCTGATTATTGGATGTCGCCCAGGCATTGGGAGGAAGTTCATACCTTACGCAGGGTTCGCATGGAGGCTTCCCAGAAACGTAGAACCAATTAGGGGTCAGCCCCATCGGTGTTAGAGCATGAAGTGATGTGCCCAATTTGAGGAGCGGTTATGCAGGTCGGCGCAAGCTGCAACTCTCTGTTTGTTGATTAGGCAGTGTATCATGCAGCCACTACCTTATCTTATCATAGAGCCAAGCCAAACCTGTCCAGATTCACCAGTTCATGGCATGTCACACATGCATGTAATTATGCTGAGTTTACCAAGAAAGTGCATGGTCTTCGCATCATTTTGCAGTGAGTTCGTAGGAAGTCAAAAAGGAACACCATGCCATATCTAGCCGGCGCGAGAGATTGAACCTTGGTTTTTTGGAGGGTTGCATATGGCGAAAGCCATGAGACATCTGCATGCCTATGCCCAACTGGTTCCAGTCGCTGGTTCATTTCAACAGCAACAACGCTTACAATTGGGCACGTCCGCTGGAGGAAAACAAGAACGTCGTTGGTATTGTTACAGATAATCTATGAATCGCTACATGAGTGTGCATTTGCCGCCTTCCGCGGCCTCGTTTGGATTTTGTGCCTTCTCGATCTGTGCGATCAGTATTTCAAACGCCTTGGAGACGTTCTCGTTATAACGCGCGCTCGCCTCGGTCCATCCACACTGGATCCTTTCGGATAGCTTCTTTCCCTCTTCGGCGCTGACCTGGCGTTGCTCGGGACGCAGATCGCTCTTGTTGCCGACGATGACAATCGGCACCGACTCAGTGCCCTGGAAGCGACCAGTCCGATCGTTAGCTTTGCTCGCTTTCCCAGAGGATGAAGGACTCCAGACGTACCAGGTGGTTCAATATCTTCTCTCGAATAACCTGCACCATCTCAAATGATGGCAACGAAGAGACGGAGTACACTAGCATATACCCGTGGATGCCAATGAAGTGCTTCGAGTTCAGAATGCTGTATTCATCCTAGTAGAACAGGCTGTCAGCGGCAGTCTACATTTCGACCGCGTTTGCCCCGTATCGATCGAGTTGTCGGTAACGCGAGGGGTGTGTTGGCCGGCGACGTACTTGGCCAGCAGTGTCAACTATCTCTGTAGCAAACTCCTGCCCCTTATAACGTATGGTTTTGCTAAAGGTATTCTCGATGGTCGGATAGTAGCTGTCAACAAAATGGCCGTCGACAAACTGAACGGCAAGCGAAGATTTGCCTATGCGTCGGGTGATCCGTCATCAGCAAAAAGGACGTCATGAACTGTCGGATGGTTCATCTCGACACAAACCACAGTCACAACAAAAGGAGCGAGGCCCCAACCCAGTTCGACTCTAGGAAAGCAGCGACTGTTTGACCTACCGACGGACCGACTGCCAACAATGGCCACCTTCCTGTTCTTTGGCGCTGGCATTTATCTGGTACTCAAACGAGCGTGTTTCGGCTCGGCTTCTCGTGCGAAATTGGCTTGAATGATGGTCAGTCAGTGTCAAAGAATAGGAAGGTGACTGGTTTCAATCACATACGGAAGACGTGCGATGCACCAGTTGAGGTTCAACAGGGCGCTTTGGTGGGGGATAAGGCGGTATCGGGATGGAGTTGCAGATGTGAGAGGTGTGTGAAGGCGATAGATACTTCCCGCAGTCGCGGGAACCATACATGTGCCAAACTCCCCGTCCCCGGTGACAGACCCTCCCACTAACAAATTGCCATGTCCCACTAATTAGAGGTGTCGGCAGGGACCTTGGTGGAATGAGCAGCACGCCCAAGCAGCTGCATTGGGCTGCCCGCCACTGTCACACACCGCGGGGCTGCGTATTTTGGGGTCGGTGAGTGCAAGTGGAGGTACCTAAGGTAAGGTAGGTAAGGTACCTTACATACGGTAACATACCTACCGTAGTACACATAGTGTAGTGCGGTGACGCTTGCCCTCCCCTGCGGGCCCAAGATGAAGAAGCCAGGTGCCTGAGGTAAGACAGCCTCACTGTCACGCTTCGGCTTTACCAGTCGGTTAGAGGAGTTCCCGCTCGCATTGGCCTATTCTCGGGGCTTTCACTTTCCATTCCCCTTTTGGACGCATTATAGTATCATTTCCAATGCATTCAAAGCCGAAAAAGTTCTGGTCGACTTCCATACTCATACACGATAACAGCAGATGTTACATAGCCCGTGCCTAGCTAGCTAGGTAGTAACCAGATTTCAACCGGAAATTCCTCCTACTATCAGTTCGCGTGAGAAGCCCGACCTCTCAGCGTTCTTAACCTCCTCTACTGGACAGCAAGGCCTCCCAGATGAGCCATAGCTCAGATAGAAACATTTGGCCCAAAAAACAAATAGGCCACCCACGCGAACAGGGCCAATGTTATTAGCTGTCACCTATCTTCGGGGACGTGGTACGCAGGTGTCAGTGGACATTATACATTGTAAGTCATTTCATCGTCTTGTAAAATGCCGGGCACTTTCTGCCCCCTCATGTCGTCGTAAAGAGTGCCACGCGGTCGAGTTTGTCATGCGGGTACCCTGCCCTTCTGCCTCAGCTCGTTGACTAGGTTTTGTAGGCTCGTCGTCAGCTCGTCTGTGTCAACCTTTGCGTGCAAGGCCATAAACTCTTGGATCGAATCAAGTAGATACTTGATGCCCCTCCCTTGGCTTTTCTCTTCCAACCGTCGCCGAACCTGAGATCCCAGACAAAGGTAGCCCAGAAGAATGGCCAAATAGCCATGGGCTACGGCCACTGATGTCTTTTCTACAGAGTCGGCCTATGATTTTGTTGTCAGTCTCATTGAACCCATAGTCTTCATTGGGCAGTTAACTCACCATGACAGCTGATTCTCGGTTATCTAGATAAACCTCCATTAGCTTTTCCAGGGGTGATCCATCATCACCTTGCCAAGCGTCAACGGACTGGCGGGTCGAGGGGCAATGCTCAGAGGTATTAATCATGACCCCAAGCATTAGCATGAGCATCTCGTAAATATCTTTAGAAAAGGCCCCGTTGCGGATGGACTGCTCTAGCAACTCAAACGCTGCGAGACTGGTGGCAGCCAGCTCTCGAAAGAGTTCACCCCTGCTAAATGCGCCAGCTGCGGTCGGGTTGTTGTTCGTTGTGTTCAGAGCTAGTTTCAGCGTTGTGGACTCGAATTCACCGAACTCTGCCATTGGCCGAGACATGGCTGCCGTGAGGATGTCTGCGAGGATGGGCAAGTAGCGTTTGGTCCATTGGGGGCCAGCCTCGGACTGCATGGCCATAATCGAGCACCCCTCCAAAAGGGACAGCGCGATCCCACCTTCGGTAGTTCCCATTCCCTGAGCACGACTGTGTTCCCAGCCTTTCTTGACAAACCCAAACAAACGATCCGTCAAGCTTGCGAGAATGGCCCTCGTAGCCAGACCATCATTGTCTTTGCATAACAAGGACAGGACTTTGAGAGCCAATATTCTTGGCGACAAGTTTCTCGGGGGCGAGCCTTTCCAAACCTCCAACCTTTCCAGAGTCAATCGCAGCATGGCCAAAGAACCTTGCCCATTCTTGGAGAGATTTGACTTCCGCTGACTAGCAAGGCTAATGATGTCCTCGTCCTCGTCAAACATCGTAGACGCCAGTTGCGCGATGCCTTCAGACTGGAGCTGTGGAACTAGATGAGGAACCGAATATGACGTGAAGAGCACCAGAAGGACGGACAAGAGGATAAATCCACTGATAACATCCTCCTCAGTACCAATTGCCCGGAATAAGGCATCCTTGGCACCTTGGTCTCGGAATTGGCGTACGAACGTCTTGTCCCGGAGTTTGGTGGCCAGCTCTAGTAGTGCCGTACGTCTTGAGCGAGAAGACTGCGACTTTGGCGGCTGAGGAGTTCCTACTCTATCCAGGAGATCAGCCATACTGTCTGCGAACCGATGATTGGCACCGGCCTGCCTGAGAGCATGGATGTCAATAATGCCGCCGCCTTTGGATGACGGAACCTCCTCCATTTCCTCTTCCTCAAAGGAGAATGACGCCAGCTTAGACATTGGAGGAGGTGACACGTCAAGCTGACTATCAATACCCAGACTCATTTGGCTTCCAAGACCGTCTCCGCCTGACTCGTCTGCCTTGAGTGTCCTCTGCTCTCCGTACGTCGACCGGAATTTTCTTTGACTCAAAAGCGGTTTTGGTCGCGTCGACGGCCTTGGGGTCATCGCTGCGTCTGTGGGCCTCATCGGCGTAGAAAGCGAACTTTGGCTCTTGGCCATCTCTGCAATGCCCCCCTCCGTCACATCAGACGCGTCAGACTCGTAGTCAGAACTATCTTCATCATTCTGTGCTGCCAGTTGGTCGATCAAGCGTACGCGCCTTGCCACGTTTAGGCGTTTCTGCTTTGGGATAGAAGACTCGACTGCCATCGAAGCCGCCCGTATGAATCTGGGTTCTGTCAGAGGGGAGCGCGCTGGTATTTTATGCCGTATCTGCGAAATCATTTCGCTCTTCTGCCGGATGTTGCTTTCGACTGCGGCCTGAGCATCGAGAAGAGACGCCTCACCCTGCTGGTGACGTACAGACTTTTCTGGCTCAAGGTTCGGCGTAGGTCCCGGTATCGGTATGGATCTCACCTTAGGCTCAGGCTTGGACGATGACGGCTTTGATTCATGCTTCGCGAGGCGGGGGGATGTTGCGCTGCTCGAGTCGAAAGACGACTTGATACGGCGTGGATGAGAGGGCAGTGTTGATTGCGCAGCATGCGGAACGGGGTGACTACCGGGCCTGCGGTCGGCCTTGGTAGTAACGGCTGTTGGTACTTTCCTCTTCTTGAAGCTTGCGGGAGCATCCGGAGTTATGTTGGTTAACTGGTCCAGCTGCGCTGCGGCGCGTCGAGAGAGGGATGGTGGCAGGTGCGTAGGCTCGTCATCGGACATATCATAGGGGTCTCGGTTCGGGTCTGTGGGAATACGCTGCGTGGGGGTGTCTTTTCCATCACTGCTGGCACGTTGCGAGCTATTCGACAGTTCAAGAAACGCGTGTATAGGTCGTTTGCGCGAGGTCTTGCCGTAAGTCGTGGTCTTCTTCCGAGGAACGCTGGGCCCATCTTGAGTAGCCATATTGTGTGGAAATCTATACCGACAAAGAGTATGCGACGCTGCGACACGTTATGGAAGGGCTAGCAATCCCGTTGCACCTTTTGGTGAGCAACACGCTCCATGCAGGAGAGAGGGGGCGGCAGAGGAGTAGGAACGGAGGGGACGGTTAACTGCCGATTGATGCGACGGCGACACAAGTTCGAACGGGCGTGGGTATCGTGCTTTCGCGGTCGGCTGCTGTCAAAATAATGCGCCGTCGAACGCAAGCTAGTGTGAATCGTAGCTGGCGAAGAGCTCTGAGCCGAAGGAAAAGCAAAGCCGGCGTCAAGTGCTCCGAAATGTACAACAGATGCTACAGGGCACGTTGTGGTAGAACGGTCGAGGCGTGAAGAGGCGCGAATATGTCTAGTCGGGGCCTTGGGAAAGAGACACTCAAGAGCGCGCCTGCGGCTAAAGGTGATGGCGATAGCGGTGCGATGGAAGTGATTGATCGCGACAGTTGGCGATTGGTGGCGAGGTTCTGCAGTTATTTTGGCACCTTGCAAGAGGCACAGTTGTTTTCGAAAGCAAGGTTACCTTTTGCTGTTTTGTTCCTTGGCCACAGATCGCGCGCGTGGGGGACGGCAGATGCTTTTCTCTCCTGGTCTGACCTTCTACGCCTTGCGCAGGCGCATGGCACCTTACCGATGAGGGTACGTACCGCCTTCTCCCCTGCCATTTGCGTCCACTGCATCAATGCCCCGGTTGTGCGATATCTATTAAGTCAATTACTGAAGCTGCGACCACTTAATCAGAAGTATGTACATCATGCTCCATTCCCGGGTTCCCTACATGATGAGTGTCTCGTTTACACAGGTAAAAATAAGAAGCAAAGGAGATCGAGGAAGACAGAAAGAGGAGAGTAACATCTAAAGAGACAGGAAGGGCATGTACCTTTGTACAGATAGGCATATAAAGAAAAACAGCCCGATAACGCGGTGTTTGGGAAACGAAAATGGTACTTTAACAACCCCACACGTCCCTATCTCTTCACAGTGCCTCGTTTGTCACCTTACCTAAAAACCCAAGGTGAGAACTGGCAGTGGTTGATCCCTTGACTGCCCCTCCCCGGCCCTGCATTAAGGTATCCGCACTTCGCGTTGCGTTAGTGTCCCTGTAAGTCTGCTTCCGCCTCTTTACCCTAAGCTGAGCGCCTCTCAGCAGGATTCTGGCGGCGGCGGACGGCGAGCTCCATTGTGTCTCGTGACACTTCTCATTCCAACCCTTTCGGCTTCCGTGCCCATATTACGTCGGGGCTCTGCAGTTCGCATTCCAGTCTGGCAGACGATTGCAGCTCCTTGATTAGACACTGGCTTTAGCTCACGTCTCTAAATCGAACCGTCCAAGCTTTGGACGAACTCCCAACTAAACCCATCAACCCCTCATTCACCCATTTTTGCCTGGTCACCTGGTTCAGCAATCATCGCTTTCCTGCCTGCCCTTTTTTTTTTGGTTCTTAAAAAACAGGAAAACAAGGTCAAACCAAGCCAGCGACAGCTGCTTTTCGAAATGGCCAGCCAAGATTCGAAGGTCACCGGCGTCAGTGGCCCGACCCAGTGCGTCGGACCGTTGTATCGCTCCGAGAGCCAAAAGCCTTCGGCAACCGTCTCAACTGAGATGAACTTGGACAATGTCATCATCCTCCCCCAGACACCTCAGCTAATTGCACTTCTAACGTGAGTCGAATGTCTTGCCCGATAATCTAGCTGAGCGCTGCTGTGATTATGCGAAGAGCATAGTGCCCCCCGCCAGACAGGTTTGCCCAAGTTCCACGAACCACCTATTAACACTTCTTGTAGTATCATTCGGGATAAGAACACCGAGCGTGGTGACTTCATTTTCTACTCCAATCGCATAATTCGACTGCTGGTTGAGGAGGGCTTAAATCACTTGCCCACAGTTGAACATGATGTGACGACGCCTGTAGGCCGGACCTACTCGGGTCTCATGTTTCAGGGCAAGATCTGTGGCGTGTCCATCATGCGTGCTGGCGAGGCCATGGAGCAAGGCTTGCGGGACTGTTGTAGGTCCGTAAGAATTGGCAAGATCCTGATTCAGCGAGATGAGGAGACGGCTCAGCCGAAGCTGTTCTACGACAAGCTTCCGGAAGACATTGCCCAGCGTTGGGTTTTGTTGCTAGACCCTATGTTTGCCACAGGTATGTATGAAGGAGACTTCGATGTTCAATACTTGAGAAATCCCGCACTTTTACTCAATCGTGTCATCATGAGTGGAATCGCTACTAACGTCCACGCTAAACAGGTGGATCGGCCATCATGGCTGTTCAGGTCCTCAAAGCTAGAGGTGTCCCAGAAGACCGGATTCTTTTCCTTAATCTGATCGCGAGTCCCGAAGGCATTAAGAACTTCACATCAAAATTCCCAAAGCTCAGAGTGGTCACTGCATTCGTGGACCAGGTAAGATGCCCATTGCCCTACATCCTATGTCCTTAGGTACTGGCATCTAACATTATTCTTTACAGGGTTTGGATGAAAAAAAGTCGGTACCTGTGCATCTCACGATGCCATCATTGCGATTGCTAACTCGCTATCACAGCTACATCATTCCCGGCCTTGGCGACTTCGGCGACCGCTTCTACACCGTCTAAAGGTGCGCGCATCGGACAAACAGGGTTATCGTGCGTCTTCGGAGCTTCGATGCTCTGGGCTGCTCTAACCAATAGCCCTCCAGACCGTAGTCAGTATGGGTGTACCTGGGCTGAAGGTGTGGATGGTATGCGACACTCAACGCGTGTCTCACGGTATCTTTGCCTCCTCTAGTAATCATCGTCATCTGCATCAATGCCCTCGCCTCCGTATCTTCTGTCATCATCGTCGTCGTCGTTCATCGGTCGGCTCGGAGGTGCGCGCCGGGCACCAGAAGTCTTGTTCAGGCCACTTCCACCGGCGGGTGCTTCTTTGGCAACCGCATCTGTTCGTGTGTCAATAACGACCTTCATACTTGTGAATCTGCTCTCCAACAAGGGGGGGCCCACCTGCGGCGTCTACCCATTCACCGTATACATCGACGGCAGCCGAGAGGTCTGAATATGATTTAGCCCAAGCGAGCGAGAGACATGTTTGAACAAGAGAGCTTACAGTTGATGCTGCATTGAAACATCTGACCGCACACTCTGCAGTCCAGCGAGCCGACACCCGCCTTCTTATCCAGCTTGACAGCTACGGAGTCCTCGTGGTTGCAGAAAAGACATGTGAATTTGGTCGGGAGGGGATCCTTCTGTGTTCAGGGGTCAGCATTTGGCAATTCGCATTCGAGGCCATGTGGACGAACCTTCTTGGGGCCCTGAGGCTTCGACGAACTCTTGCGCTTTCCCATGGTGCCGAAAGTCTTGAATGGCCAATAAGAGCGCGCCCAGCGCGTTGGATAACAGTCGTTAGATGTGCTATAAGCCTGACGGAGGAGGCGGTGAAAAATGAGAGCTGCGCGATTGCCAGACGGAACAGCGATCAGCAGCAAAGCAGGGTCTTGAGGAAGTGTGGCATGCGAGGATGGAGGTGCAGCGTGTGAACGCGATCAATGCTAGGATTTCGAAGGATGCGCGGCGCAAGGCGGGCAGACGTAGTGGACCCGTTTTAGCAATTGCGGTCAGTTTGAAAGCTCTTATCACACGGCAGAAAGAGTCAACCCCGTGGCTTATCGGGGAAGCGGGGTATCAACGGCAGGGGACGATGCACTGAAAGCGGCTTACCTAATAAATAGCCGGTGTACCCGTTTTACGTAACGTAGGAACCTTACCTCGAGGAAAGCCTGCTGGTGCTGCCAGGCTTATTAAGGCAAGTGAGATTTCATCACGATGCCTACCTAGGTATCTAACTAGATCGAACCAGTTACCCAATGTCACAAAGCCTTGAGCGAGTCTACAGTCTGAGTAGGCTGCTCGGCATCCTTGGAGGAAGCGTAAAGAAGATGCCCTTGGCATTTCCCTCGTACTACAACGCAGGTAGTGTAGGTGTAGAGTTCACATCTTTGAAGGGGGGGGGTCGCCCAGTGGCCCTCATTGAGCCCAGCGGCGCCCAGCCGAGAACAAGGTCCAGTTAGCCTCGGAGATCGGAGTCCGGCAGCAGGTAGCAGTTCACATCGTATACTGCGGAAGGCGTGTTAATTGTACATCTGCCGCTCAATGATGGTGTGACCTCATTCACTAGGTAGGTAGCCAGCCTCATCCGCAGATCTGCTATCCATCTATTCGTATATACCTATTAATTGTAGTATCGAAGACAGATAACCGCCTTGGAGTGTCTACCTACCTACCTAGGTAGGGTGCTAGGCACCCATGGAAGGTAGGTTAGGTCAGCTCCACGCCCGCGGCTACTGCGGGGAAACGCAGGGGCAGAGACAGCCCACCAGACATCTGAAGGCACCTGCCGGGGATCTCGTCGGGTGCACCCTTATCTTTGGCGCTGGCCGCCGCATACCTAACACATATCCTACCTATCTCTTCCTCCACGTTACATGAGGTACGAACGGCCCCGCATCTGTTGTCTACCATTCCATCCTAGACACTGGTGCTCCCAGCCGTGCGATTGACCACGTCGTAAGGCATGTTGGGTACGACATCATTCCTGTCAGCCAGCTACATTATCCTGCCATGGGTTAGTGAGAGCTGGATACGGGCATGCACAGCCTTTGAAGGGACTCAAAAGAGGCCGAAGCCTGAGCCTGGGACCTGCGAAGTGCATGAAGTAAGATGATGGCCGCAGACTCAAGCCCCAGAAGGAAAGCCAGGAGGTGCATGTGCAAGTTCCAATCGCGTCTGTACTGCACCACCAGCAGCGGGAGGTCGAGGTGCATGCGCGGCGCCTTCCGACAGGTCACAAGGCCTCGCTCAGGCAGTAATCCTATGCTCGAGGTACCTAGGGTCACCTTAGATTCAGATGCGTATCGCAGTAACGCCTTAGCCCCTCGCATTCTGCCATCCCTTACATCTGTTTGCTACATAGTTAATCCTCTCTTCATCCGATTTAGTCATCTGTTGAACTGCCACCCTAGACGGCTGTGGACCAGCCATCGGTGGTCACCGTCTTGTCTCGTCCTTCTTAAGAGGCTCCAACCTCCCAGCTTCCGGCAACTTCTTGTCGTCTAAACTCCGCCGTCTGAACTTAATCCTGGCCCCAGACTTGCTTCACCTTGTCTTACTTTCGCGGGTTTTGTTCCTATCCTCCTCCTTTCCCTCCCCTCATCCTCTTTTCTACCGTCTCCTCGCCCTCTTTGTTCACAAGCTTCGCAATCCTTGTGGCCTCACTCCTGTAACCCTCGCATCACCACCCACCTGCTACTGACCACGTCAAGCCCCATCTGCTTTCACTTCAGACCTGTATTGTGCCGTGAACCTCATCTTCAAACTTAGGCAGTGATGAGTACTGGAAGCCCCCCCGAAGAGGCCTTGGCCCAGGTGCTCGGCTCCCTGCGCTCCATCCAGCAAACCCAGTCGGACCTTGTAGCTGCCGTCGACTCATTGACCCAGCGATACCATCAGCTGTCTGGTGATGCCAATGTCGCCGCCGCACTTGCCCCGAGCCCGGCTATCGGCGTAGCCCCCGAAGCACTCCGCACCTCCGATGCTGCCGGTGGCTCGGACCAGCAGTCATCCGATCTGACCCTCCAGGCCCCGGCAATTCCTTCGTCCCCAAGCCAGCGATCCGGCCTCACGTCCCGTATCATTTTAACGTATGTTCACGTTGCCGAACCGTTTTTCCTGATCCGTCCATTTCCTCCCATCCGCTAGCGGCATTCGAAGTCATTTCAGCTCCCCTACTAAAGTAACACACAGAACATACCCAAAGCAGATTGGCATCAAGCCTCTGCCCCTGATTTGGGGCGAGGGAGAGCCTCATCGCCGAGGTCCAGTTGTCGTTTCCCGATCTTCATCCACCATTGGAAGACGTAACGGTTCGTATCTTTGACACCACATTATACTATTCACGCAGTTGCGGCTAATCAGGTTTCATTACCGTAGCCATCGGAGGTGAGTACCGTTTGTGCTTGGGTGAGCTTCTGATTTGGTACGGACTAACCTATTGAACTTAGCTCAGTAAGTTAAACATACCTGACGCCTCTGAGAATACATTACAGCAGGCAGAACAGCAAATGCTTCGTATCTAACACAGCTCTTGCCAGTGGCGGGTCGTATTCAATTTACTATGCTTTGGCTGTTGCTAGCAAACAGCTTAACCTGGAGCATAGGTAAGACCCTGTTGGATCACGCACGTTTCGCAAAATGCTCACATTCCAGACCCGATTTCACCAACACGGAGCCGGCTGCCAAAATTGGACCCTTTCCTCAATGGGGAGACCCTAAGAAGATTGTGGCCATGGATCCTTGGGGACATTTGGCGCCGTGGCTCTTTAAAGACACGATTGAAAGAGACAATGGTACGAGAACCTCGAAAACATCTTCTGCACAGACAGTCACGCATTAATACGAGGTTGAAGTTGATATCCGCCCGACTATCGCCATCACTAAGGCACACATGAAGGTTCGCGATCACACGTGCATATGATATCGATGTGCTAACGCCTGCAGCTGCCGGAGCTGGAAGAAAGCGTCAGGACGGGAAGGCTGTGAGATTTCTTGACGCAAGAAGTGGAACTAGCTTTGACTGACCTGGGATGTTAGCGTTCCTGACGGCAAGGTTTGTATTAACAACCTCGGAGAGCTTGCTGTGACCAAGTTTGCCGTTGAGCCTGTATGTCGATGCCACTAAGACGACCGAAAATGACGCAGTTAACATTGACCTAGGTGTGGTATCTGCCTGGGGTTGCTGAGAGATTTGGCATCGGTTCGTCATAGTCCCATCTCAATGACCATTGAGTATCTAACTTAGCCTCTAGACGAGGGGGCCTTGAGGCGATCATTGTTCGAGCACACGGGGGGTAGCTACCCTGAGGTAAGGAATGTGGGCTCATCAGAAATCGGGCTCTTGGCTGACTCAATCGTCAGTTGATCACCCGCGGAGACATCAAAGTTTTCCTTCCCCCCATCGGTGAGCAGGCCTGAAGCAGATTTCGACTTCAAGCTGACCTATTGACCCGGATAGGTGGGCTGACTGTGTACTGTTTCGGTGATCCCGCCAAGATGTCAGACGAGTCGGTGCGATTGGCATTGCGCATCCACGATGAGGTTTGCAACATGGACTCCGGCAATGACTTCCCCGCTTACAGTACCTTAGTGCAACGGCAGTGATGTCTTTGGATCTGACATCTGCACCTGTCGTCCTTATCTCATCTTTGGCATTGAAGAGGCGGTCAAGGAAGCCCAGAATGGTGGTAGCGGCGTTGTGATATACTTCAGGAAAGAAGGCAGAGCTCTCGGTGAAGTCACCAAGGTGAGTAACTAGCGTGCCTTCATTCAATGCGAACAAAGCTGACACAGAGCTATAGTACCGTGAGTGTACCCTGAGTTGCGCGCCCGTGCCTGATTGAACTAAGCGCAGCTGCCGACCTGTCGCAGAACGTTTGTGAGATAGATGCTGACGGGGAACACAGTCGTGTACAACGCTCGTAAGCGGGGTGAAGACCGGGCTTCAGACTACTTCAAGAGAACCGAGAACATTGCAGGTGTCAAGGACATGCGTTTCCAGGCCCTGATGCCGGATATCCTCCACTGGCTTGGAATCCGCAAGATCGATCGCATGCTCAGCATGAGCAAGTGAGTAGAGGCTTCTCCCAGCGAAGCCGTCGTACCGCTAACAGGTTATTTCCAACAGCATGAAGCACGACGCCATCGTGGGACAAGGGTGAGCGATGAGTTTCACGTCCAGAAACGTCGATGGGATTGCGCTGACAGTGTCTGCAGAATTCCCATCCATGAGCGGGTAGAACTCCCAGAGGAACTGATACCGGCAGATTCCCGAGTCGAGATAGACGCGAAAATCACCGCAGGCAAGCCAACACAAGTAAACTGCGAACCATTCTGAGTGCTAACATTAGAGTCTAGGGTACTTCACCGCTGGAAAGCGTATGACGGAAGAAGAGCTGAGGGCTGTGCAGGGTCGGCTCTGGGAAGAGTATGTTCCGCCAGGTTGGAGACAATTCATCGACCGCTGACATGCCCGCAGTATTGACCACTAGGCACCACATCCAGAAATTTGGGCCGGTGGTGCGTTGAACGAGCAAGGGAGCAGCGTGGAAACAAAGGTGCCTCAATGCTGGGCAAAGACCAGCTGTGTTATTGACCCTCCCCATGTAACAACCGCATCATCGCCGGTCTCCGGATGGATGGGGCGAGTAGATGTTGGACCTGCAGGTGATATATCATTCCCTTTCCTCTGGTTGTGTCGGCGGCATGAAGAAGAGGGGTGCAGCGGAAGTCGGGTAGGAATATTGCTGCGGCATCGTCACATGTACTGGCAAGCTGGCGGTTTAGGGACGGGAAGGCCCCATATATAGTAACGGACGCCATTGGGTTGGATATCTCCCGGTGAGCTAATTGACACGAGACGTCACTACAACCACGTAACATGGTTGTCGCACCACCAACGCGCGTGAGGAAACTAGGCCTGGCCTGGCCCGATCCGCATGTGCTGTGTGTGTGTGTGTGTGTGTGTGTGTGTGTGTTGTTAATTGTGTATGAAAAGACTTGCCAAGGAACAGCGACGCATGTACCGCCCCCAGCTTCTCCAGTTACATGTCGTTGACCGGTGCGATGCAATGGCGGTGTTCAGCCGGGATTGGACTCGACTCCCGGGAATGGGCGGGAAATGGCGGGAACTGGTCAGCCAAACGGTTAGCCACCCCACAGTAGCTGCATGTGTGATGCCGGCCATGCATGGCCTTTGCGTATAAGTGCCCAAACAGACGCTCACCGACCCATACAACTCTAGACACATAGTTGGGAGCCGGTCCCATCAGGCACCGGCCATGTGGCCCAATGAATGCACGCTTAGCCCGTCAGCGGAAAACCATCGACCAGGCTCGGCCCCTCGTGGACCGATGCTCCCGCCAGGTAGCCGGGCCTGATGGCTGTTGATAATGTGCACGATATCCGCGTGAGGAGGGGGTCAAAGGCAAACATGATTTCCATCCGGCTCGTACTTACTGTAATTTTGCTAAAACCGATCAATCAACCGTGAGCGTTCACGGCTAGCCGGGGCAGCATCCTTTTTATCCATTCAATCATACGACAATCCACCTGGCAACTATGGCGGCCGTTGCCCGGGATTTGCGAGACGATGACAACATGAGGAGAAGGGAATCGTCGCCTCGAGCAGATCGTCGACGCCGACCGAGGCTACTACGAGCCAGTGCAACTGAGCCTTCCATCACAACAACGTCGAATGCCAGTCGGGGTGCCATATCAAGTCCGCAGTCAACTCAGAGAGCTACCGAGTTGCTCAATCGCGTCGCAGTATATTCCGGTCCAGCCCCCGAGTACTCACCCACGTCGGTTGCGGCACCTCCCATGGCATCGTTGAGCGCCGAGGACGTGACCGTGGCGTCCGCCAACCGCGTACAGGGTCACAGGGAGCACCATCCTTGTCCGTGAAGTCCCAGGACGTTGGACAGCAACGAGTTACCTTTGCTGACGACATGCGTTGTCCAGATTCGAACGGCTATTTCAGCTTTCCCAATTTCGATGCCTGGGACGGAGAGCGGCGCAGTGACGGCAAAGAGGAAGATGTCTGAGCAACTCGATGAAGAAGGCGACAACGGCAGGCAGAGTTGAAAAATGTCCGCCCGTCCCAGGCATGAGACGTTTCTGAATGCCTCACGAAAGGCAGATGGTGACGATGATGACGGGGCCCTACGGGCTGTCCACGGTTCTGCATGAGCCGTATGACCTAGCGAGGAATGTCATGGCCTCGGAGGGTGGTTACATGTCAGTGGCGAACTGTCGTTTCGACCGAAGAAAACGAGCCTGAAGACAAGGTAGGGGGTTTTATGGTGGTTTTATGCTGCATCGGCGAATGCGCAACGAAGACAGGCACGAGGTGAATGGTGGCAAGATGACAATCGCCACCGGGGCTCCTCTTAGGCGTTTGTATGGTCTGGTTGGAGAAGTAAGGACAGAAACACCATAGGTCAACTTCACCGGTCATAACAGGACGGACAATACCACTTGGGTAGAGTGAAGGAGGGATCATGGGCGTCACACCTTCTGCAAGAGGGAAGGATGGATGGCGGCTAGCAAATAATTGCGGAAGCCCTGAGAGTTGTACTTTTTTGCTGGATACCCGGGTGCAGGATGGCGTCAGGTAATCAATGCCTTCTGTTGGTGCCATTGTGGGAGTCGAGAATCTTCATTGTAATGTTTGATCGTGATATGCAAATGGCAGCATGTTCATCTGAACGTTGTGCTCAACGCAGGAGGTAGGGCGATCCGCCAATCGACCGATGGTCCACGTCCAGCCACACTCTCCATGCGGCCGCAGCCACACCTGGCTGACCTGTGACATTCACTGCCCGGAGACACCCACACCACACTACGTACCTACCTACCGAAGTAGGCACTGTCCCCGTAAGGTAGGTAGGTGAGGTACGGTACTGTCCCTGTACCGGGAGTGGGTCTTTGGGGCTGACTGAACAAATTTTTTTCATGATTTTGTGCATCACGTGATTACAGTGCGGGAAGGACCGTGCGCGGTCTCATCTAGTTTGGTGTCTCTTGGTGCTGACTTTGGGGCAGGGGCAAGCACAGTGCTGTCCCGGGGTTGCAGGCCGCCTGGATTACATAATTCGAACGGGGCACACTCGCTAAGAATTTCGGCCACACAACCTGCGCTCTCAATTTTATCACCAGCGAAAACACCACCCCTCCAATCTTTCAACTACTCAACGTTCATCCGCCAGACAAATAGCAGCCGCCCAAAATGGCTGTTGGAAAGTAAGCGACATCACTCCCGCAGACAAATAACCATGCGCGCGCCGTCGAGTGTCGCTGCCATACGCATTCTCGCTGTCAGTTGCTAACCATTCTGCTTTCTCTAGGAACAAGAGATTGTCCAAGGGCAAGAAGGGTCTCAAGAAGAAGACCGTGGACCCCTTCTCCCGCAAGGACTGGTACCAGATCAAGGTAAGGGTCGGCGCAGCCACAATTTCGGCGACATGTAGCTGACAATGCCGCGACAGGCCCCGGCCCCCTTCAACGTCAGAGAGTGAGTTCTGCCAGCCCGATGTTCCAACAACCGGATAGCCCGCAGCGACAGAAGAGCGACAGCGAACTCGGAGGACACGATCGAGAGGGTTTGAAGGAGGGGGCGCAGAGAGGGTTGGAGATTACTTCGCAAGCGGATTGCTGACTCCTTCTGCAGTGTCGGCAAGACCCTGGTCAACAGAACCACCGGTCTGAAGAACGCCAACGATGCCCTCAAGGGCCGTATCTTGGAGGTCTCTCTGGCGGATCTCCAGAAGGATGAGGACCACGCTTTCCGCAAGGTTAAGCTCCGCGTCGACGAGGTCCAGGGCAAGAACTGCCTGACCAACTTCCACGGCCTCGACTTCACCTCCGATAAGCTCCGCTCCCTCGTCCGCAAGTGGCAGACCCTCATTGAGGCCAACGTCACTGTCAAGACCACCGACGACTACCTCCTCAGACTCTTCGCCATCGCTTTCACCAAGCGCCGCCCCAACCAGATCAAGAAGACGACATACGCTGCTTCTTCGCAAATCCGTGCCATTCGCCGCAAGATGACCGAGATCATCCAGCGTGAGGCTTCCACCTGCACCCTCACCCAGCTTACCTCCAAGCTCATCCCCGAGGTTATCGGCCGTGAGATTGAGAAGTCCACCCAGGGCATCTACCCCCTCCAGAACGTACGTTTCAGATTCCATATGTGGTGGTGCGCGCAAATTTCAGAGCTGACTCGATGTCCTCAGGTCCACATCCGCAAGGTCAAGCTCCTCAAGCAGCCCAAGTTCGACCTTGGTGCCCTGATGGGTCTCCACGGCGAGTCTGGCACCGACGACCAGGGACAGAAGGTTGAGCGTGAGTTCAAGGAGCGCGTTCTTGAAGAAGTCTAAGGAGCAAGAACTTAGACGGAGGAAGGTTCGGCAGCAGGGGACTCTGGCTCTATCGGCCGGAAAACAAATTCGGCATTGTTTAGGTCGTTGCACATGGCGTAGCATTAAGGCGGCTGCGGGTCTAGGTTACCTCAAAATGGTAAATGGTCAATTCTTCAAGACACTGTGCCGGGTGTGCGCAGCCTCGCTTCCGAATCATGATGGCAAGACTTGGGTTTCGGGATCCGACTGGAGGATATAAAAGAAAAAGGCGTCATGTGTGTATGTGGAATGGACGGACACGTTTTTTGTTGCAGTCCGTTTTCGACCAAGAGCAGACTCTCGCAGTACCACCAATGCGACTTCGTTCCTGGAACAAGCATGGCCCATTGCGGGTTCTCGTGACTGGAAAGCTCAGTTTCCAAGGAGCGTCTTTGTGGTGACGTAGTTTGCATCCCCTGATTCGGGGCATGTCAAGTTGGACCTGGTGTGTGTCTAAATATTTGTCTATCCCATGACTGTCTACGAATGAATACAACCCTGCCCTATCCTCCTCTGCCACGCACATGCGCTCTATGACGCCTTCCGCTATTCGGGTCCTCTTAGAAACTCGACGACCGCTACGACTCATGCGTGAGTTCTTGCTACGCGACCGGTACTAAGGAGAACTTACCCTGGCGGAAGTCTTCCGGCTTCTCTGATATCACCCAATGACCGGCGTCGATGTCTGCCAACCGAAACTTGGGGAAGAATTGCCCGATGATGGGCAAAACATCATCCGGTACATACTTGCTTTTGGTTCCGCGGACAAAAAGAGCAGGCTTCTCGAAACGAACCTTGCTCGGATCTTTGTATGGGAAGTCCCCCATGTGGTTTAAAGAACGACCAATGATGTCCAGTGGAACTCGAAACTTTTGCTCCGGCTTCCCTGCTTGGGGCCGGTGTAGGTTGCCAAGCAGGAATTGACGAATAGGCAGAGACTTATGTGCCAGAGTCAATGAAATGTGCGCTACGTTTGGGCACGGGAGAGTCTTACACTTTCATATTCTTTGAGAATCTGGTCCGCCTCTGCCTGCCTGGTGACATTGGCAGATTCGATCCTTCTCATGCCTTGGATATACTTCCCAAAACCA